GGCCCCGAGGGCAGAACTGAAAAATGCAGTATTTGAAAGTGGCGCCCGAATTGCAGCATGGCGCCAGTTGTCCAAAATCCTACGGTACCAAAGGAGGGGTTTGGAAAAAGGGTGCCAGGCCGAAAATGGGATGCAGCCGAAACAGCAAAAGATAGACCAGGGATCGAGCCCTGGCGAAGTCCGTAACATGTGAGCTCATCGATCTCTGTTTGAGTCCCATCGGACTCGACCATCATCAACCTAGCCCCCTTCTTCTTCCATTCCTGTGGACTCTTCTTCTTCCTCGTATCATTCTGAGTAGGTTGAGCGTTTCCTAGCGTGGCCTCCAAATCTAAGGCTTTCCTAGACAACGTCTCAAAGGAGTGATACTCAAGGCGAGCCACACTGGGCAGCAAATTCCTGAGGTTCTCTGGGAGACATCTAACAAATGTGGTCAACAGGAATTGGTTGTTGTAGTTGATACCAGGAACGACGATGAGGCTCTCTATGGTAGTCGTAAGCTCCCTGACTGACTTGAACTTTCGCTGATCTAGTCTGTTTATCGCATCAATGACCATTTGTGCCTGCTGAGGATTGTGCCAGCGAGCTTCTACCATCTCTAAGAACTCGTCTAACGTAATGGTCTTTGCCCAGTCCGCCATGCGTCGTCCATACCCGGCCTTTGCAACTAAACCATCTAGCCATTTGGCTGCCTTACCCTCAAGGTAAGATGCAGAAGTTATCACCTCCTCCTCCTGCAAGGTCCTCTTCGCCGTCACCCAAACCGGAACTGTTCTCAACCATGTGTTGAGTTCCTCGTCCTTCTTCTCGCCTGAGAAGGCAAGAGGTTGTTTCATTGGGGTCTTAGGATACCACTGACCTTGCGGCTGTCCCTGTGGTGGAACAGGCTGTTGCAGTGGTGTAGCTCCCACCGCTGGACCCGAAGAAGAAGACGCAACTGTCTGTGCGGCTGCTGCAGACGTGCCACTTGGTTGTGCGCCAGCTTGAACTGGAAAGGGGCCAGACATCGCCGTCAACGGCAACGGCGACTGTGCTGGTGGCCTATATCCTGGCCTTTGCAAAATGTCCAGGATCTGGTCCAAAGTGTTCTGCATGAAGTCCAACCTGCTGTCTACGTGCGCATGCAGCGACAACATGTTGTTTTTCAACACGTTCATTTGGTCAGATAGTCCTGACTCATCCAATCCCTCTAACTCAGCTTTGTCTGCCTCTAACATATCAAGCCTGGCTGCTCTATTTTTAATCTCTCTTTCCCTATCGGTTGCTTGCTTCAGTTCCCTCTCTAATCGTTCACGGACCCTCTCGACCTGTTGGAGCTCTCTGAGCTCCCTTTCGCGAGGAGTCAATGGGCTGAACTGCGAGCCCGCCATTTGACTTGTAGACTGACGAGAACCTAACGAACTGGAAGTACCCGAGGACCCTGTTGGCATTCCCAACTGGGTCCCATCGGTCCCAGACAACGCAGCAGAGGATGCTGCTGAGCTAGTCATGGCTGCTGCCCTGGCTGCTGCTGCGGCCTGTTCCCTAGCTGCGGCGTTTGCTGTTTCCATAGCTGCTGCTAGTGCACGGGCTCTGCGTTCGGCACGAAGCCGTCTTTCGTCTTCCGGTTGTAAGGCCTGGAACACGTGCGGGATCCTACGTGATCTCGAACGTGTCAGTCTCGCATCGTCAACTGCCTCCTCATCGATGTCTGACCCGTTCATGAATTAGGCAAACATTATCTGCACTAGAATCCCCTAGTGGAATCCTACCACAACATGTGTCTGACCGACACCTAATTTTCTAAAAATAGTTGTGTCCGGCAGGTCCCCTACTTTACCGATCAAGTGGCAATCTACAACATCCACAACAGATTGTCAACATAGTCTAAATGTATTTTGACCGGTTCACTTACAGCAGCATTAGATAGAACTGGCTATGGTAGTATACAACAGTCCTAATCTAGTCTGTCTGTGAGGTGTTAGCAGTCTGTCCACCAACTAATCAAGAATACAAAAAGACCATGTTGCAGATGTATGATGAGTGGGTATGGTTGTGTAATCAGTTGAGCATCAATTAGAACCTACCCTTCCCCTCAATCCAACATACCGGTAAACATCATTGAGCAGCGGTGTCTTTCGTGTGTTTGTCGGCCCACCCCTGTGCCCAAGTCCTTGCCGAGCAAGCCAGCCAGTCCACTCTTATTTACCCTCGTACGGAACGAGCCTTACACCCGGTTGATCTGGCTGATCAGGAGGATTATTAAGAGCGCCCCCATCTCTTCAGGAATTATTTAACTTCGCAGTCAGGACGACGATCACAGCCAGAATGAACCAAGTCCCCAACAAGAAACGTTTATAGATGGTCTGGTAAGCGTCACATAAAAGGCTGGCACACCCGGCAGGACTTCTATTCAGCGCAGCAAGTGCCAAAACGGACAGCAGCCATCGCATGCGTGACCTACTCCCAAGTGCTTCGACCAGAGCCCTTCAGAGGCACCGCCCTTTCTCCTTCCAGATGCTTCCGGGAAGATTGTCGTCTCTCAAGGTAGCGCGGTCACGAGACCTCACCAAAAGAGAGGACTCTCAAGTTGGACTCACTTCCTCACGGTAAGAAGAGATTGAGAGAGTCAATAAGGTAAGGGAACAACGTACCTGGAGATAGCTGCCCCCAACCACAGATTTCTCACCAATTGAGCTGAGTGAGCATTGGATGACCGGTCTTGGCCTCGGTACCACCCACAACTCAATGCAGTGCCACCTCAGCCAAATGCCACATCAGCATGCTCTCATCACCAATCATACATTCCGCCTGTCACCACGGCATAATGCCGTCTTAGCCTTCCGGCGCACACCTCTCTACCCAGGCTTTGCCCCTAAACATGGCCTGACGTCACAAGAACCAACTGCGAAGAAGCATCGTCAACGCACCAAGTCTGTATAACGCCAGTGCACCAAGGTAAGTGGCAAATCTAACCAGCTCCGATACCAAATTGCAAGGAACATGAGTATGGACGAAGCACAGAAATCCAGATTGCAAAATCACACTGAAGTCCAAGTAGTCAAAGCAAGAGCAGATAGCACAATGGAACCGAGTAACCATCCATTTGAGAACGATACAGAAGAATCGTGAGTCAATGTCCAAGCCCAACAGGGCAACACCAACAGCATAACCCAATGTAGCTCTCTCTCCTGAATGGCGCCAGGCGCCCTATCTACTCTACAGCCCAAGCCTACGACTACAGCAATGAAAGCAACCAGACAACTTGACGACCAGCGAGTGATGATGTCAACACCAATGCCGACCTCCACCTCCACCAGGTACGTGTCCTCCTTCACCCACACTCTCCCTTGTTATCCCACACAGCGCCCTTCACCTCCGAAGAACCACCTTCGCCCTCACCTCCTCTGCGCCCTCAGGCAGCCCGGCTATGGCCGCCAGCACCCTGCGCACACAGGCAGCGCCCTACCGCTTTAGCGCTAGCCTGTTCCCTCAGCCTTAGCGCAGCCCAGCAGCTCGCGTTCACGCAGCATGCCGGCAATGCCCGCACTGGCCAAGATCCCTGCCCACTTGCCCTGCTTGCCTATATGCCAGTGTTGCGTGTGGGCGGCCTCCTTTCAGCCTGCGACTGGGCCCCAGTGCCTGAACCCAGGCCCGATGCAGTTGGGGCCCGGCTGATGCAGTTGCGCCTCTTTCGTCAAGGCCTGCGGCCAGATTCAGATAGTGGGCCGATTTCCCTTTGGCATTTTCGGCCTCTATACCCAGCATGCATTGTCGGCCTCACGTTCAAGTGCCCAGGGCCTAACTAACTCAGAGGCCCTGGGATCTCAACATTTGCAGAGATTCGAGACTCGGTGCACTCCAACCAACTGGCGTGCTGCAACTGTATGAGCCGCACTTCGTGAAATGTTTGTACAGAGGGCTCTTGTTGATTTGCTGGCCCGCCTTCACTTAGGGCGGGCACTAGGCTTGCTGGGGCCTTAGCCCAGAACATGTACATCATGGCAAGGCCCCTTCTTGAGGGCTCAATCCTCACACTTGTCTCATTTTCATGGAATTTTCTGATGAATTTTTCTGAACGTACTCGTTATGGGACGCTGGGCCCGGTTCCTAGTTTGTGCCAATTAGTGAGGATATGGTTGTATCTATGGGACGCTGGACCCGGTTTCCAGCAGGTGCTGCTCCCCACCAATAGATAGAGCTTGTTTTCCAAAAAAAAAGAAAAAAAAAAACAGGCTAGTGTCTCCTCTCTTGATGCCTCCGTCTTCTCAATGGTGAATGTACATCTTTGTTTCCGTATGTTCCAGAGGGAAAGCTTTCTGAGTAGTCTGAACCGTATCTCCTTGCTGCCTTTTAGTGAAGTGGGTACATTGGAGAGAAGAAGGATTGTTAGTGGGCTGAAGTTGGGGGGTGGTGAGGAGAGGAGAGAGATCCATATTTCCTTTGATCTTGTTCCATATCCAAGTAGCCTCGGGGCAAGCAGTGCAATATATCTTCCGTGGAGTTGCTGTTGCACAGTTGGCAGAGGTCTGAGCTATTTGGATTGGAGTGATTCCTTCTCTTGTGGAGCCATTGATTGACGGGCAAGGCTGTGTGTGCTAAAAGTCACTGCATCCTATGGCCCTTGGTGGGTTTGATAGGTAGATATTTGGAACAGGGGATGGTGAAGTCGGCTGAGGGGCTTAGATCAAGGATCTTCCTCCACCTTGTGATCAACTCCGGGGTGGGATCTGTTGTCTTCAGCCCGAGATCGTAGCGAACTTAATGTCGTAATCCGCGATTGATCTGTACTTTTGACCACTTCGTTCCCATTGCCATTCTTTAGGGTCAAATTCCAGTTCCGCGATGCTGAGTTGAGGTTGGAAGATTATCCACGGTTTGGTATGGGACACTCTTATTTTCCCCAGGAGGAAAGTCTCAAAGACTACCTCCTCCAGATTGAGGTTATTTATCTCCAGTTCATGAAGGTTGTGTTTGGATATGGGGTAGGAGATAAACCTGGAGCGATAGTTCGTGGGTTCAATTTGTGTCACGAAGCGGAAGGCCCTTTCCGGTGTTGATTGGACGATTAGACCCCAGTCCCCTGGTTTCCAGGAGAACTTCTGACTGAACAGTTCTATACATGGTGGTGGGATGCTCTGTTGGATGAGGGCAAGGTTGTCTGCCTCCGATATACTTCCTCTTTCATGTTTGCTTTCCTACTCCTTCCCAAAAAAAATATGTCATCAGTGTACTGAAGAATAGCCAGCCAACTGCCATGTGCATAATTTACATTCATCCCACAAGGTGAGACTCCTTCCCAAAAAAAACATGTCATCAGTGTACTGAAGAATAGCCAGCCAACTGCCATGTGCATAATTTACATTCATCCCAGTAGGTGAGACATACGCTCAGCCAGCTTTTTCTGGGTCTAGATGATCCAGACTGACCATCAAGGCAGCATGTGGAAAAAAAGACCAGAACAAGGTTGCCCCCTCACTGCCCTGAGTTCAGCAATAGTGCATCAATTTCTAGCCCATTTTCCGGACCCTGTATGGATGGTCTGGGTGGATAATCCAGACCCGAAAAAGAAGGAAAAAAAAAAAAACACCAGCGGGAAATATGATATATTTTATGTGCAGCAGCCTCTTCAGCGTCCGTCGTAGCAGGCACAAGGCCTCGCCCGACATAGAGATTACAATTGACAATGTTGACATGCAGTCATCATGACCACCTGCCAAGGCAATTTTCAGCTGGGGCACAAGGCTAGATTAGGATCAGAGAGGGTAAGACATCACTTTGTGCGCACTTTTAGTCCACATAACTCTCAGCAGCTTAACAGTTGTAATGGAGTACAGGTGACAGGTCAAAGATGTATCAATCCAAACTCCAAAGTATTCAGGAAACGGATTGCCACTCACCAGAACAGAAGTGAGACGCTCATCCACAAATCAAGCCTGAGGGTTGGGAAAAACTTCAGGTGTTTGGCCAACCTCTCCTTCCTGGTCAACCACATTTCTTCAGCAGCCATGGTTTTTCGAGCTTTCCCTTTACCATGATAACCCCTGATGTTGCCGTAGGCGATAGGATAAGAACTTGCACCCTGTTGATCAATATGCAATAACCTCAGTTCATAGACATACAGCCACAGGCTGGGGTCGTCACTTTCGGTCAAAGGCCAGAAACAGGGGTCAAAAGTCGCGTCTCAAGACTGAGAAATGTCTGAGAGAGGGCCTAGGGTCAAGGGGTATCAAGGCCTGAGTCAAAAACAGTAGCCACAGGGCCCACATGAGGTAGAGTCTTGGAAAATCAAGAGTCAGACCAAGCACGGGAAAAGTAGGCCCGAAGTCAACCCATTAGTCAGCCTCGGCCATAGATCAGATGCACATCAATGGTTGTCTGCAGGTAGCCGGAAGATTCCAGTCCTGACTGGAAAAAGGTACCGCTGCTTTAAGGCTGCATCCAGGCCGTCGAGATCGGGCAAATCTGAAGCATCAACACCGTCAAAGGGGAGACTGGTCCACGCCAGTCAACACTGGTTCAACGCTACAAAAGGGCAGTCAGACCACTGGGGAAGGCATTCTGCCTTGCGCTGGCTTGATGCTAGTGCTGTATCGCGACGCTGCTGGAGTGGGATGCTGGCACCAGATGCTGCTGGAGGGTGCCAGGCGCGGCCATAGCCGCACAGCTACAGACTAGGTGATGAGGATTGGCAAGGAGGAGGATCAGGGCTGTCAGACTGTTGGGAGATATGAGGGGAAGTTTACCTGGACTAACCTGGCGACGACATGTGTCGTCTGCTGCTGGTCATCTTCCATATCTTTTTGTTGACGAGGAGAGAGGATGGGCGCCCTGTTATGATCTGCACAGTAATTATGTCAGAGGACGTCAGAGGGAGCATGCATTGCTGACGTGGCTATAGGGGAGAAACCCAAAGTGAAAGTGGGAGAGAGACAGAGACATACAAGTACTATTGATTACTATTGAGACTCTCCTCCTCTTTTCTGTCTTTCCTCTCCTCTTTCTCTTCTCTCATGCTCATCTTTGACGGGACGATGCTCTTGAATTGTGGATATGATTGAGACATGGACTTGTAACTGATTTCGGAGACTTCATGAGGTGCGCTGGGTTCAGACTTCTATTACATTGCTGACTGGGTTCATAACAAATACTTCAGAGTGCTCACCATTCAGCCACTATCTGGATTGATGAATCTCTTGTTGGGATGTGCTTAGAAGGCTCAAGCAACTGGCTCTATAGGCAGGGAGTTAGCTGGAATACACCAGAAGTTAATATTTGAGCAAGCAGGGGCTCCCAAGTCTCATCCTTGGCTCTCTATTTCAGAGAAGCCTCATGCGCCTCCATTGAAGCTGATCATCCATTTCTGTCTACTAGTACCGCCCATGGGCCGTTTAGCCCAGGGCCGTTACAGCAAAAAATGGATTAACAGTAACTTTGGGCCCCAAGATATCTGCGGGAGGTCCAGGCTTCACAATAATACAGAGGCCGGTACTGTTTCTGTCTCGGCAAAATGTGTTTTTCGGTTCATCAATTGAGCTTTGGATGGACTGGTGGTTCAAGCCGTTGTTAGGCATTGTTCACCTAGCACTTACCTTTCCCAGATAGAGGAGCACATAAAGATATTGAAAGCCATGCTCGCCGAGGTTAGATGCAATGATGGACCCTTACCCGGGGATTGTAGGAAAGGCATCTGGGGATGATACAGGAGGTGATTATGAGGAGGGGAGTCAGTCCGCAGCGTACACCTGATGCAGAACGGGAATGCACTCCGAAGATGGTTCGGTGCGTAAACACGATGTCTTTCAGGGATCGGCAAAAGGGATGGCAGTACCAGCCAGAACATTTGATTTCGCCCCCATGCCGGTTAGAGAATACTCCACGTGCAGCATAAATCCGGGTTGGGAAGTCGAGGCTCAGAGGTACTGGTGGTTCAACCTGGAATGAACCTGACAGTGATGCTGGATCTTCATCTTTGCTTAGGCACCCATGACTAATGAACACTGTGACGAGGTTCAAATCAACATTAGGCTTATGCTTATCATGTCAGCCACGACCATTGCTTATGGCTCACGAGCCTCTTATGTATTCACTATCCCCAAGTCCACAGAGAAAGCGTGACAGTGCTTATGGCTCACAAGCCTCTTATAAATTCACTAACCCCAACTCCACAGAGAAAGAGTGACTGTGACAGACTGTTTTATGAAACTTCCACCAACTGAGACACACTGTTTCCTGGACTTCCACAGACTGACAAGGACATTGAACCCCAATAGTCTCTCCGAAGTGGCAGATATAGACCTCTCTCTCTCTCTCTCTCTCTCTCTCTCTCTCTCTCCAGCCACACCCCTACTTCCCAGCAAACACTCACCGAACAATAAGAGCAAAGTGGAACACAGAAGACTGGATGCCAAGTCAAAACAAAAAATGAAGACCATTAACATTTCAATATACTAGATAACAAACAGATACATAAGACACCACATTTGGATGTGGTGCCTGTATACAGCCCGTAAAGCTATTGATGGACTTACACTTACGGATGACGACTTTGCCTTCATGCTCTTTCCTTGCCGCTGGGCTAGAAGTCAAGGATAAACCACAGAGCGATCCATTTGTCGCTCGAACGAGTCAAAGATTAGACCCCCCAACCACCATTCCAGGCATACATAGCAGCCACAAAACACAATAATACAGTAAATGTCCCAAGCTATTTCTCAAAGCTATAATTACAAAGATGGACATGACACGCAGAGCCTTGGAAGGACAAACAAACACATCTCGAACGCAAGTTATGCAACACACAGCGCCAGGGATGGAAAAGCAAATACTTTCCAATGGACGCATGTATTACGTCGGCTGAGTAGGGGACAAATACAGGGCTTGCACTTCAGTCTCAGGGCCTCACAAAAGGAGAAGGTATCGAGTACTATCGAGGATCAGAAAATAAAGAAAAAACAAAAGAACTTGCCTCTTCACTCCAGTAAGAACAAAACACAAAAAATAGATGGGACTGGCACGCCGTGCCCATTTGGTTCAGCAGTTGTGATATTTCCCCAAAATCCCACAGGTCAGAGGACCCTCTTACATAATTTTCCGGTTTGTATTCATCAGTTTCTCCTCTTCACTTTCAACCCCACTTCGACTTTCACAGAAATAGGATGCGTGCAAGACCAGACATATACATCCCACGGCTCTGCTATTGCTTTTGCTACAATCCTTTTTCTCGTAATTCTCTCTCTCTCTCTCTCTCTCTCTCTCTCTCTCTCTCTCTCTCTCTCTCTCTCTCTGCGTGTGTGTGTGTGTGTGTGTGTGTGTGTGTGTGTGTGTGTGTGTGTGTGTGTGTTTTAGATTTTCCCCACAACAGCCCCAATTCCACCCAGGGGAATAGATTCAGAATCAAAGCAGTCTTTATCCTATTGCAGACAACGAGAGCATTTGAGATGTCCAACATATTAAAGCAATTTTATAATTAGACAGTTTTTTGGTTGTTCTTGGGGTACCCCTTTCATAGTTCTTGCAGCTCCCCTTTTACTGTGCCTCTGTGTGTGTGTCTGTGTGTCTGTGTGTGTGTGTGTGGGGGGGGGG